GACTTCGTAACTACGGTTATAAATAAAGTAACTACACTTAGAAGTACTTATAACCCTAATTAAGGTACCTATTACTGTAGTTGTGAAGTCCCATGAACCTCCAAGTAGGGTTCAGGGATGACGAGATTGGTGGATCTTCGGGGGTGCTCGATTTGGGGTCTACAGGACTCTACATGCTTTCTGGTCGCGTCGGGTGTGAAAGGGTTCAGGTATTGTAGGTGCCTTAATAACTCGAAAGGGTTTTGCGGTAGATAATACTATAATTACAAAAGATATACTACGGAACCCCCCAAAACAAAAGTACTGGTATGTATTTTTGAGCCCCTATAATATTTGGGATCATAGAAAATCTCATTGAACTGGCCTGAAGAACCTTAGGAGCTCTTGGCATAGAGGCACTCACAGGGTCCATGTACATAAACAGTATATACTTTGGTCCCCAACGCACCTATATCGGGACTACTTTGAGGCCAAAGTATATACTACTGTAGTTGGGTGCATGGACCATCCTTTGATGGATCCTTGAAGGGATCTTATACAGGATCCTTGAAGGGCTCCTCTCAGGGGCCCCTTTGGGTTGGCTTTTCGACATGTTGGCGAGCTTCATCCAGAGGACCAGTTGGGCAGGGTATAAGGTCTAGGGTTGAGGGCGTTTCGCTAGGGTTTAGGGTGTAGGGTTGAGGGCGTTTAGTTCGGGTTTAAGGTTCGTGGCTTTAGGGTCATGCGAGATTGGTGTGTGTTGAAGGGTGCATCTCATCTGCCTAAGGCTCCTGGATTTTCGTGAAACTCTCATTGGACCCGTCTCGATTCGAACTTCTGCAGATCCTGGGCAAGCTATGTCAGGGGTGCCAAGCCCGAAATCCCAAACCCTAAACTCCCAAAGCCCAAACCCCAAACTCTAAACTCCCTAAACCCAAAACCCCAAACCCTAAACTCCCCAAACCCAAAACCCCAAACCCTAATCCCAAACCAGGTCTGCTTCTGATGGGATTCAGAGCTCGACTCGTAAACGGGAATTGACTGAGTCCTACTTATAGTCTCCATTGTTGTTTGTTTAACCAGTTTTATGGTTAGGATCTTATAATATAAGCTTGGTTAACCCGAAAAGGAACTACAACGGAGACTATAGGTAAAACCTGTGAATGAACCCCGAAATGACCACTCTCTAAATGCCCTCATAGTATATATCCGACAAAAGCCATGAAGACAAGCTTCTGATCAAAGCAGCTGTCTTAAACACCGATGAAATACTCTCTCCCAGTCGTATGTAGACCTGAACCACCCCCTACCCCCTAAACCCTAAACCCTAAACACAAAACCCTAAACCCAACTCCCTGGGCGCGAGTCCTGGTCCGTCATCCGGAAGATCATGTGGCGCTGCTGCTTGTCCTTGTTCGGTTTAGGGTTTAGGATTTAGGGTTTCTTGTTCATGGGTTTATTAAGGCTCAAGAGTTTACTGGTTTAGGGCTTCCTAATCCCTAAACCCTAAACCCCTGAACCCTAAGCCCTAAACCCCTGAACCCTAAACCTTCAGGGTTTAGGGTTTAGGGGTTTAGAGGCATCGAGTTCGGGGGCCTTCAAGGCTTGAGGGCTCAGATTTTGTGGGTTTGCGGCTAGCTTTTCGGCTGTTCCGGCTTGTCGGGCCGAGGGCTTAGGATTAAGTAGGTCTTAGGGGTTGAGGATGTAGGGCTCAGGTCGGGTTGTGGGATTTAAGGGTCGGGAGGAGGTTTTGGGGCTTTTGAGACTAGGGGTGTAGGATTTACGGCCTGAGGGTTTGGGATTTCTGGCTTAGAACTTGCAGGGTTTAGGGTCTAACCGTTCAGGGCTTGGGGACTTTGGTGGAGATTACGGCATGTGGTTCGAATTCGTGGTCACGGCTGGAAGGGTAAAGGTAGCTAGAAGAAAGCTTGGCAGTACGTACGTTGATACGTCGTTGTGGCTGATAGCCACTTTGCCTATAAACCTGTTATGGTTAAGTCCTAAGCGTCGAGTTACCTTCAGAATCAATCGATTCCTGGTTCATGTTTGCTAATTCGTATTCTTGAAGCTTGTGTTTAGAGTCTCCGGATCAGAAAACCGTTACAGAGGTAACTGGGGCCCAAACCACTTAGCCCTGTTCTGTTTCCGAACCCTACATGCCCCCAGCCCTAAACCCAAAACTACAATCTCTAAACCCTAAACTATAAGCCCTAAACCCTAAACCCTAAGCTTTGCCCTAAACCCTAAACTATGAGGCCTAAACCCTAAACCCTAAACCCTAAATACCCCAAACCCGAAACGCAAAAGGCAAGACCTGCGTGTGCCCGATCACCTGGAAGCCCGACTTGCAAGTGGATGTCTCCCACGCCCACAGCCGAAATCCTAACTGGGTTTAGGGCTTTAGGGGTTTAGGATTTAAGGGTTTAGGGGTTTAGGGTCTAAGGGTTTAGGGGTTTAGGGTTTAAAGGTTTAGGGGTTTAGGGCTGAGGCCCTAAACCCTAAACTCTAAACCGTAGAGGCGTAACATTGCAGGCTCGTCAAGTATCCTGGAACCCTCGAGCAACCCTCGAGCTTCTAAGCCCTATATACCCTACACTGAGCTACCAAAACGAGAACCCTAGACTCGAACTATTTCGGGCTAGGGTTTAGGATTTAGGGTTTAGGGTTTAGGGTAAACCCTAAACCCCTAAACCCTAAACCCCTACACCAAAAACGCCCTGCAAGCGAGACACCGGCTTGCAAGCGGCCTCTGTGTGGGGCAGGTGGCAAAACTCACAAGTGTGACCGGCCGCGCATCCTCCGGACCCAGAGTGGATTAGGAGTTCAGGCTTAAGGGGGGTTTAGGGTTTAGGCTTTAGGGGGGTTTAGGGTTTAGGGTCGAAGGTTTAGGGTTTAGGGTTTAGGCTCTAGGGGGGTTTAGGGTTTAGGGCTGAAGGCTTCGGGTTTAGGGTTTAGGCTTCAGGGGGTTTGGGGTTTAGGGTTGAAAGCTTAAGGTTTAGGGTTTAGGCTTTAGGGGGTTTTGGGTTTAGGGTTGAGGTTTAAGCTTTAGGGTGGTTTAGAGTTTAGGTTTTAGGCTTTAGGGATTTAGGGTAGAGGGTTTAGGCTTTATTGACTTAGGGTTGAGGGTTTAGGCATTTAGGGGTTTAGGGTTGAGGGTTTTGGGCTTCGGGTTTAGGGATTTAGGGTTGAGGGTGTCGGGGTTTGGGTTTAGGGCTTCCCTGCGGGCCCAGGTGCCCATGCAGTTCAAGCATTGGCCCTTACGAAGTACTTATGTAGGCAGTACGTTAAGGCCTAAGTCTAATTATCTACTATGGGTACATGGACCCTTCGGGTTTAGGATTTTAAAAATGGGGGCCTAAACAATTACCTCTACTACGTTGGGGGTTCCTTGCTAGAAACTTAGTATAAACTTACCCCCAAACCCTATTCTAATTTCTACGGCCCCTACATTATCTTACCTTAGACTTGGGATTGAAGGTTGGAGGAGGTCGGGGTTAGGGCTGGGGGCTTGAAGTGCTTGGGATTAGGGTTTAGGGTTTAGGGTTTTGATTCTGTGCTTGAAGGCCCCTCCTTCAGGGTCCAAGGACTCAAATACTAGAGGTTTGGGTACCAAAACCCATTTCGGAGGAGAGTTCTTGAGTCCTGAACCCTACTGCTTGGGCACTTGGAGCCTTAGGGCTTACTTAAGTTGGCACTGTCTGCAACACCACTGAAAATCCCGGCTTCATGGGGCTTTAGGGTCTATGTTCTGGGAAGACGGATTCGCAAACCCTAAACCGGAAATGTTGCTCTTTGCGCTCCGCTCTTCAGGGCACCCCTCAATCCTCGCGAAACCCTACTTACTAACTGCTTCAATCGCGTCATCGCAAAGCATGGCTGATCGAAACTAAACCCTAAACCCTAAACCCTTCATTGAAACATTTGAACGGGAATCCTTAAGCTGAAACCGTCTGGGAACCCGTGAAAGAGGTCAACTCTGTCAAGGAGCAGCTACCAGGAATCGAAACCGCATCGTGACTTTGGAAGGGACTAAAGGTTCAGGAAACAATGGTTCAGGCTTTAGGGCCAGTTTAGGGCTTAGGGTAGGGTTTAGGGTTTAGGATTTAGGGTTTAGGGTTTAGGGCTTAAAAGTATAAGGTTGTGTAAGTGTATAGGGACTCGGGTCTGGGGACATGCTGTTGGAAGAAAGGTAGCCTGTGATGAAATCAGACGCCCCTTTGAAATTCCATGTCGCCCAGAACCCCAAACCTTCTGAGCGCTATACGGTTTAGGGTGTATAGGGTTTAGGGATTGTAAACCCTCATCATGCACGAGGCTTGCCTCCATACTTGCTCACATGTACGCAAGGTCGTGCGCAAAGGTGGGGATGGCCATAGCTACCCTGGCACCTGTGAGTGCATCAGGGCTTCTCAGGATAACCCTAAACCCTAAACCCTAAACCCTAAACCCTGAACCCTAAACCCTAAACCCTAAACCCTAAACCCTAAACCTGCTATGTTGGCCAATAATGTAGGAACCTGATTTAAAAACCCTGGTCCTATAACCCCAAAATATTAGGAACCAGACAAAGAGCCCTAATTCAGACACAAGGGTCTCTTAATCAGGTTCAACTTATTAAACCCTAAACCCTAAACCCTAAACCCCTAAATCCTAAACCCTAAACCCTAAACCCTAAACCTGCTCTTGGGACAGGGCCTGCCGGATCAGTTCTGGAGTCCCTCCTCTGAGTTCACCAATTTCGGCCCAAAACTCACTTGCGTGCTTGACATCATAAACCCTAGGGGGGTTTAGGGTTTAGGGTTTAGGGTTTAGGGTTTAGGGTTTAGGCAGTGAACCCTAACAATGTAGACCCGTGGTGAATCAGCAAGCTATACAGGAGGACTCTCGCGCTTCAGGCTTTAGGGTTTTAGGGTTTAGCGGATTAGGGGATTAGGGGTTTAAGGTTTAGGGTCTAGGGGTTCAAGGAATGGGGTTCAGGGTTTTTGGTAAACATAATGGTCGGAAGCCATCTGAGATTCCGGACTATTTCTAAATTCAGGGCTACTGGGTTGGGTGAGCCTGTGCAATAGGGTACTTCTCTAAAGTAGGGCCCATTATTTAGATCCCCAATATAGTGCGGCACCCTTATACAGGACCCTAAAAAGGGACCTTAATTTAGAGAACTACCCACCTAGAGCCCTTACGGTACCCTTCTTGAAACCCTTATAGATCCCTTTAAGGAACCCTGGAAAGGGACCAATTCAGAAAAACTACCCAATAGTCAGCCTGACAGGGAAGACCATGCAGCAGACCAGGGTCCGAAGCCACGCCATGAAGGTGGGGTTTAGGGCATAGGGGTTTAGGGTGCAGGGGTTTAGGGTTCAGGGCTTAGAGGATTTCTAGGGTTTAGGGGTTTAGGGTTTAGGGTGTAGGGGTTTAGGGTTTAGGCTTTAGGGTTTGGGGGTTTAGGATTTAGGGGCGAGCGTTTAGGTTAAGTATCGGGATTTTGGGGCTGAGGGTTGCAAGTCTGAGTCATTTACCTATGTATGACATTGTGACATGTGGTGTAGATTAGTCTAGATAAATACAGTCCGAACCAAGATCACTACCACGGTGCATGCCCTTACTAGGACCCCCGAAGCACCCCATATAGAGATCTCAAAATACTCATGAAAAGATAATCAAGGACTACAATAAAGCTTAGTTGGGGGGTCTAGGTGGGCCGTCTAGGTGGGCCTAAACCATGACGCCTAAATCCCAAACGGTCCTAAACCCTAGACCACTTTGAGTAACATCCGGCTCTCTGGCTCTGGAACAAAAAGCTTCACAAGCTCATCCTAAACCCTAAACCCAAACAGGGGGCCACCAAAGCACCTGCACAAAATTGTAAGGACGAGTATCCCAGACACCGCTTCCATCGTAAGTGTACTTATCGTTTTAAGTTAGACTTCTATGGGACAACCCTGTAGCAAACGAAGCCAAGAGGCAACGGGACGCCATTTGCCCGGCGTCCCACGGCGAGGGTCTCGAAACCCGGCGGCGGCGGCGGAAGATCGAGGTTCGCCTTCTACTGGGCTCTTGCTAAGGAACTAAATAGAAGTACCATATTCGGGATCCGTACGTACTAAGCAACACCCTAAACCCTAAACCCTCGGGTTTCTTCGTTATGGTAACAGAAGTACAACTCATCGATGTTCGCCTTCCAAGCTCAGGTTTTCGGGCTCGGCGCTCGGGCCGAGGATTTGCGTTTCGGGTTTTGAGATTTGGGAATGGGGATAAGGATCTCTCTCTATCTCTCTCTCTCTCTCTCTCTCTCTCTCGCTCTATACACACACACACACACATATATATATATATGAGTTATATATGTATACGTATGTGTATGTATAACCCTCTTGTCCCTAACCCGAAGCCCCTAAGCGTCTCGCCACGGGTCAAGATGCCAGGGTTTATAGGGTTGGGGGTTTAGGGTTTGTAAAATAACCCAACCCTAAACCCTAAACCCTAAACCCTAAACCCTAAACCCTAAACCCTAAACCCTAAACCCTAAACCCTAAACCCTAAACCCTAAACCCCTAATATTCTGACTGCAGAAGGCCCTCTATTACACTCCGGCCTCGCTGCCTTAACCCTAAAGCCTTGACCACCACCCTTAACCCTAAACCCTAAACCTAAACCCCTAAACCCCTAAACCCTTAAACTTGCTAATTCAGCTCTCAACCAACAACCCCCAAGCCTCCCAGCTCGGGTTCTACAACTTCAACACGAAAGTCCCAAGCGGTTTAGGGTTTAGGGTTTAGGGTTTAGGGTTTAGGGTTTAGGGTTTAGGGTTTAGGGTTGAGGGTCTCTGGCACGGTATCAGGGCTTCCTTTTTTAAGGTACACAGGCCCCCAAAAAGCCCGGGCCGCCAGTTCGCAAAGCACCAAGGAAGCCCTAAACCGCCCATCCTATTCGCCATACACACCCCTTAGGGTTTAGGGTTTAGGGTTTAGGGTTTAGGGTTTAGGGACCCGTATACACCCCATAAACCCCTTAAGCTGGCCCTTTGCCCTAACTCCCTAAACCCCAAACCGAAGCTGCTCGACGCCTCACGCTAAACCGTAATGTAGGGGCCTTACTAATTAGAATAGGGTTTTGTGGCCCAATATACTATACTAATAATAAGGAAGCCCCCAAAATAGTATAGGTAATTAATTATTTAAGCCCACAGTAAACCCTAAACCCTGAACCCTAAACCCTGAACCCTAAGCCCTGAACCCTAAACCCTAAACCCTATAAACCCTATAAGCCCTAAACCCTCAACCAGGCCTCCTTATCTCCAAGCACCAAGGTAACCTGGGCTTTGAAGTAACCAGGGAGCAAAAAGTATAGACTTTTATTTCATAATGGCTCCTTTAAGGAACAGGTCGCTCCAAAAAAGTACCCTAAACCCTAAACCCTAAAACCCTGAACCTATTAAAGTATGGTACTCCAAAGCCCAGTAACAGGGCTTGGCAGGCCCGACGGTGGCATCGCGGAGCCAGGGCTGGGAAGCCCCGGCGGCGGTGAGAGAGGCATCGGCCTCGGGTTTTAGGGTTATAGGGTTATAGGGTTTAGGGTTTAGGGTTGTAGGGTTATAGGGTTTAGGGTTTAGAGTTTAGGGTTTAAGGGTTTAGGGTTTAGGGTTTAGGGTCGGGTCTTGGGCTTGCCTAGACCAAAAATAACCTACCTTTTTCGAGCTCCTTGCTATGATTTCCTTATATACGTCCAAAAAAATAGATTTTGTAGGGCCCAGGGTCTTGGTGGATTGAGGATGTAGGGTTTCGGGTGTAGGGCTTAGGGCTCAGGGTTAAGGGTTTGGGGTTCAAGGCCTTTCAGGCTTAGTGTGTTTATGATGTTGTTTCCCATTTCTTAACACAAAAGTGGTTCAAGATTTCCTTTGTTTGGTAGAGGTTTGGGATCCCGGGAAGATTTGAATGCTACACACTTTACTATTCAGTTTGAGGGCCGATGCTTATGAAGAAAAGGGATAAGAACAAGAAGGACGTGGGGCTTCCTTTAGGGTCTAGGGTTTCAGGGTTTAGGGGTTTGGGGCTTTTGGGTTTTAGGGGTCTAGGGTTTAGTGTTTTAGGGTTTAGGGTTACGGTTTCGGGCTTTCGGGTTTTAGGGTTTAGGGTTTTCCTGGGCCCTAAAGAACCTTCCCTTTTAAGGTTCCCATAAGTCCTTAAAAGAAAAGGTAAGCTATTGGGGGTCCTGGTATGGTTCAGACTGGATGAGCCTAACGGTCGGTAGCCTCAATCCTCCCGTAGGGACTTGTGCTGAGCATCCCCGATTCCGACTCCCACAAAAACCACTGCCACGGTTTAGGGTTTAGGGGTTTAGGGTTTAGGGTATAAAGTCTTACTTAAGTAGGCCAAAAGAAAAGTTAATACAAGGTTCCGTGTTACGGTTATACGGTGGTATATCCCAAATCTAGTTGGGTTCTGTTCGAAAGCAATCGATTTGGGCCTTGGCTATGGGAACCTGCGCGAAGTTCACGTCTTTCCTTGCAATGCCCTCAGAAACAGGATTTCCTTCGAAAACCCTGGGGGCAATGGAGGTTCAGGGTTTAGGGGTTTAGGGTTTAAGGTTTAGGGTTTCAGGTTTCAGGGTTGAGGTTTTTTTGGGTTTACTTAGAGGCTGTCCTCAAAAAATCCACAGAGCACCCACAAAAGCAAGCAAAACACTGAAGCTAGCCTCGCCAAAGATCGAGCTCGCCTACGCCGCTCAATGTACGACTGCGGCGACCGTCGTGCCAAGATACCCATGCTGAGTCGCCTTGGACAACGGCCCGCAAACGATTGCACCGCCACCTTAGGCAGCAACCGCAGCTTCCTATGAAATTAAATCCCGAAATTAACTCACCAGAGCACTCTTAACAATCCATGAAGCTTCAAGTTGCCATCCAGTGCCAAGAAACCGTGTATACATAAATACATTAACTAATTACACAACAAACTTATTGATTAACTAGCTAATTAGTTCAGAAATTAGTTAACTGATTAGACACATACATATGCATACACACACACACACATATACATATACATATATATACATATATATATATATATGAGCGCTCATTATTGATGTATTGATTTGTTCGTTTGCTATACGTATACTATACGTATGCTTATGCTGACTTCTACGTGTAACTATTCGATATTTCTGAAGGAACATTGCTCAACAAACGCCTGAGTCTCTGGGCATTGTATGGTATTGTGGGACTATACGCCCTGATGTGGCACTACTGCAAGTGTGTTTAGGGTTTATAGGGCTGATAGGGTTTAGGGTTTAGGGTTTAGGGTTTAGGGTTTAGGGTTTAGGGCTGAGGGTTTTTTGGCAGGGTTACGGTTTAAGTTCTTGTCTGCTGAGCACCTACCTTTGTCCGCTCGCGGATGGAAAGCCTGTCCTGACTGGGCCCTAAACTGTTAAGGACTTTGGCTGAAGCTTCCATAGGACACCCGATCGGCCTCATCATTCGATGTAGATCCATAACATGCCAACTTAAATCTATAGTTAGGTTTCGAAGTCTTGACAAGAAACCCAAACCCTAAACCCTAAACCCTAAACCCCTAAACCCTAACACGGCCTTAGAGGTTTGGACCTAAGCAACACCATGCACCCACGGTCCCCAAGCCTCCCTTTCAAAGGACTTATATAAAAGGAAATTATAGTAGGGAGGCTTAGAAGGGTAGGTTCTAGAGGGTCTAGACCCTAACCCCTAGACCCTAAACCCCAAAGAGCCCTAAACCGGTGCCCCACTCGGACCCCGTAGAACCATCCCCTTTAGGGCTTCCCATTATAGTTTCCTTTTTATATAAGTCGGTAGGCTATTGGGGGTCCAGGTTGAACCAACCAGGACCATGACCCGTAATAGAAGCGCCGACCGAAGTCGCCGCATTTCAGCCCACGGCCAGTAGTGCATGGAACAAGCTTCCTGCTGTACATCGCACCCTGCGGCCCAAATCCCAAGAACTCTAGTCTAACCAGGTATTTATTGGGGTTTCGGAGAGGTGCTTCGTAAAATTGCCATGGGAGTTATGGTTTGGTGTGTAGGGGACTTCCTTAACGAGGACCATCTGCGGTGAGAACCTCTAGTTCAAGGCAGACCGTAAGTCAAATCGCACCACCAAGAAACGATGAGCCCCAGTTACGTCCTACGGCTGATGATCTAAATCCTGCATTACCTTAAGGACCCTAAACTATGGGAATTATGGCATATTCCTTGTTATGGGTAATGCAGGATTTATATATTTATATCATCAACCGTAGTCCTAGTGGCTCCCTTCCCAGGGACCTCCGAATGCCTAACCATGCACTCGTATGTGTACTTTGTTATGACTACATAGTCCAGGGGCCGAACTGATTAGAACAGGTTCCTGTAAGGTTCTATACTAAAGGACTGTTATCAATCAGTGGGATTTCATACAGAAGCCTTTTTGATTCGAATAGGTTTAGGTTTGGCGGTAGATTAACACAATGTCTCACCGGGAACCCTAAGGAAAGCATCAGCAGTTGTCAGGCTCCTCGTTATCATCATACACCCGGTCATCGGCAGAAATATTGCCAACATCGTGAGAATGGCCCTAAGCCCTCAAGGGTGTAGGGTTCAGGGTTTAGGGGTTTGGGGTTCAGGGTTTAGAACTTTAGGAGCCTTCCTCCACCTTGAATCTCCAAATCGGCCCGAGCCACGAACAAATTCCATGCTTGTGTCCATCTCGAGATCTCCAAAACTACGTAGGCGATCGCACAAGCCAAATAGCTGCAGGCGGAGGCTACATAGGCTCTTGGGGCTTGAGGTTTAAGCTAGGGGCCTTAATCATCAGAATAGGGTTTTCGAATTTCCAAGGCCCCCCCATTATAATTCAAACGTCCAGCGTTTCCCGGGTTTCTTGGGAGAGGCAGAAAAATCCAAGTCCTGTGTCTTGACTTCTCCAGACCATGGGCACCGAAGACGGCCGGGCGTAGCAGCTTGCGATACTGGGTTAGGGTTTAGGGTTTAGGGTTCAGGGGTTTAGGGTGTAGGTTTAGGGTTCTGCAGGAGATTAGCATAAGTGACGATAATAGGGACCAAGAGTAAATGAGATGGTTTCCTGCAATAATGAGAAGTTTAGGTAGCACACCCACACCCTAAACCATAAACCCTAAACCGGCTGGCATATTAAAAAGGGTGTGACTCCATCAGGCTCGTAGTCACCCTCAATCCCAGCCCGACCCAAAGCACTGCAGGGTTTAGGGTTTAGGGTTCAGGCTTTAGGGTTTAGGGTTTTGTAGATTGTCAGAGCAGCT